TTGATGGTTGTGGTGGTGGCAGTGGTTGAGGTTGGTGGTGGTGGTGGTGGTGACACTGGTTGGTTTTGGTTTGATGGTGGTTACGGTTGTGGTGACAGTGGCAGTGACTTTTTTGTCCATCTTTTTGTTCGATTTTGGGGTTGAGGTAGGTTGTAGAAGATAAAGTTTGATTTTTTTTGCTAATTTTTTGATTTAGTTATTCCTTATTTTATAAATGTATGTTTATTGAAAATATAAAGTTTTTATTGTAGTTTGGTAACGCGGTCAAATACTATACACTGCATAATTTTAATAAATATTTAACAATCCAATTAAACTCGCTCTAGTATTGAATTAAATCCCCGAAAATTACATAAGAACAGAATTCTTGGAACTTTAAAAGGAAAAATATAGAAATCTGTGGGGCTAAGGGATGCTTGTTGGTAGGTGATTGGTAGAAGTTGATACATATTTAAGACATACGAATGTATTTTAGTACTTTCGAAAGAAAAGAAGTTGGCCAATTGTGTAGTAAATTAACTATTATTTGTCAAGGTCAAATGTCTACATTACCTATGGATTGTCTGTCCATAATAAGTCCCTATATGACAACCATTATGATGAGAATTTTGAGTAAAATGTATTTTAGAATAGTAATTTTTTGAAGAATGCATGATTAAGAAAGAAACAAATTTATTTATTTTTATTTACGTATAATATTATTTTATTGAAAAATTATGATTGAAAAGAAGAGAGAGAAAAATGTATTAAAATTTTAATGGGAACCAAACAATGAGTCAATTAATTATTATTTATAGATGACAAAGTTAAAATCCATGTAGACCCTAAGTTAAACAATCACATAAACATTTAGATCAACAACAATAAAGTAAATAACATCAAATATGATCACGGAGGAAAACTGTGTCAAAATCGAATCAGGTCCCTTCTCGGATGTCGTCGTTGCTCTAGCTTCGAGCCTAGTGAATGGCGCCTCCATTGCTTCAGCGTTAGACTTGCACCAAGTGATCGATAAAGTTCCTGTTTTGAGAGCTCGAGCTCTCTTAGCACGACCAATGAGCGATTTTGCAGTGACTTTTTCTCTTTGGCCCATATTTGATCTCTTTGACTCCTCTAAGAACTACAAAACCAACTCTATACTATTTTGACTTTAATTAAAACTCAATAACTTGTGATTTTGAATACTGAAACTGCCATTAACTATTTGGACATTGCTAATTTCAAAATTAACCTAACAAATTCCCAATTTGGCATTCCATAACAAAATTATTTATTTCGAAATCAAAACTAAAATAAACTAACAACAATATACCCAATGACACAATTCCCTGACTACATCTCATATATATATATATATATATATATGAGAAAGAAAAGTAGAATATTAACATCCATATTGACAAAACACTAAACACAATATCAATATTACAACCAAAAATAAAAAATCTCTGACTCCTACCCCCTAACTCAAATATCTATGAATTTTTCCCTCTAACTCATATACTCAACTTTATTAAATAAATACTAATATCTCCTCCCTTTTTGTCATGTATAACAAAGATCTAAAGACCAAATACAAAATTATGCAAAACATGTGATGGGAGAATAAAAAATTTCTTTCTTTTGAGAGAACTATTTTTCATTGATTTTAGAATACAACATTATGAACACTTGTTTGATTTCTTGTACATGTATAATTCATAAATTGTAAAATTTTTCATGTAACTTATTTTAAGTTTATATGAAGTAAATTGTATAAGTTACTTATGTGTGAAAAGTGCTATTAAATTCCTATAAGTAAGTCTCGAAACCTTAAATAAATAAGAAAGGGCATGCAAATAATCACTAATGAATGAATATATTTTTCGAAATATGAAGTCAAACCCAGAACTACTATGACCTTTTAAATTAAAAGGCTTATATTTAATTTTTTCTATGTATAACTTTTCTTTCTCCCCCTATCTATAGACACACACATATCTTATGTGTGGACTTATTTTCATTAAAGATACTTTATGAGCCTTGTTACGAGCTTTAAGTAGATGACTACAAAGTCAGATAACTATTGAGCACTATATTTTAAGATACCTAACAAACTTAGTTGCTCGAGTAAAAAAACTACGATGACAAGTATAAAATGTATTATAATAATTCAATTCTTTTAAATGTTATTCGATATTCAAAATCAACCCACCATACAAATGACCTCCATCCCAAATCTCACACACGCAGTCAAAATTCACTCACAGAATTTCGTATCTGGAGTGCAGATGATACATGCAGTAATATATACCAAGTACTCTAAATAAGTTTTAAATAAAGTTAATGATTTTTTTTTGCACAGTTTGTAAATTTTACTGGTACTTAATCACAAGATAACATGTCCAATCAATAATAATAAATCATTTTCCCTTTTCCCTTTTCCCTTTTTTTCTTTACAAATTTATATTTTTAATTATTAAAAGGATAATGAAACAAATAGAGATTATGCATATATCATAAATAAAGCAAGTGCATACACTTAAATACCTAATCAATTAGGCAAATTGGTACTCTTACCATGAAAAGCAACGTGAGAAATACCACAATCAATATAATCACCTTGACCTATTAGTTCACTCTTCTTGACGCAAACCATCTTAGAAGAAGATGTACTCTTAGTCAATTGAGTCATTAACTTCTTCAAGTGACTTACTTGATTAGTCAAGAATCTAACATGAGTAGTTAGATCCTGATTTTTATTCTAACTAAGGACTTATGGCACTTAGGTCTAATGTGACCTAAAACACCACAGTTATGACATGTAGGGATGAACCTTGTACCAACATTAATATTTCGTTTAAACTCACTTTTAATATGAGCATAACAGAAGTACAACAATTAGCAATTTTCAAACTCACATTAAATTCGATAAATCCAAGTTACCATAGTTAGATGCAATATAGTACCCTAATTAGCAATATTTCAAAGTTACAATAAATTCAACAATTATCTCAAACTTGTCAAAAATTGGAGCTCAACATGTAAGATATTAATACTTGTCGATAGAAATATAATCTGAACGTCTGATGAGAAATCATGCATAAGAGTTATAAAGTCATAAAGACTATCTTTTGTTGAACCACAAGAAATTATCCAATAAGAGATAAAGTCAACATTTCTTTCTGAGTTATCTCTAGAGCTCAACTAGTGCCCTCCACTGACTTAGCATGAAATGTCGTTGATCATCACCTCCATATCTCGTGGTCAAGTTACTCTAATTGCGATCAATTTGGTAGGTTTTGGCGTTTTGCCAACAACAAAAGTTATCATCCCATGATAAATTTTTGACATCAACATAAAGCTTAAATCTTGTAAATCGAAAAAATTTCTTCTCTTGTATTTTCATTTATTCAGTTTATCAAGAAACCCTAAGCTGCTTTTGTTTTCCTCTCTATATTTTTTCTATTATTGACTTAACACATACATAAGTTTCAATGACTATGGGATTAATATTTTGTTGAAAATACCATATCCAAGGGTTTGTATCAAGAGGATAACATCAACCTAAAATAAAAATAAAATAAAATAAATGAAAAGGAACTTTTAATATGAGCATAATAGAAGTACAACAATTAGCAACATTTCAAGCTCACATTAAATTCGATAAATCAAAGGTACCATATATAGTTAGATGCAATATAGAAGTACGAACTTTTAGCATGAGCATAAACAATTAGCAACATTTCAAGCTCACATTAAATTCGATAAATCAAAGGTACCATAGTTAGATGCAATATAGAAGTACCCTAATTATCAACATTTCAAAGTTACATTAAATTCAACAGTCTATCCGCTTGTGTAGATATATAGTCTTATAGGCAAGCACTAATTCAATCTAATTATCTCATTCGTGTCAAAATTTAAGCTCAACATGTAAGATATTAATACTTCTCGATAGAACTATACTCTGAACATCTAATGATAAATCATGCATAAGAGTCATAAAGACTATCTTTCATTGAACCACAAGAAATTATCCAATAAGAGATGACATCAAAATTTCTTTCTGAGTTCTCTCTAGAGCTCAACTACTGCCCTCCACTGACTTAGCATGAAATGTCGTAGATCATCACCTCCATGTCTCGTTGTCAAGTTACTCTAATTGTGATCAATTTTGTAGGTTTTGGCATTTTACCAACAACAAAAGTTATCATCCCATGATAAATTTTTGACAGCAACATAAAGCTTGAATCTTGTAAATCGAAGGGAAGAAAAAATTAATTATGTTCAACAAGCATGATTTGAAAGAGTTCATTTGGAACCACATTCTAAGTGCCTCGTATCTCTTTTCATCCATCACTCATTTTGTCTCAAATGAGAATAAATCCACACGATAAAAGCAGTGCTAACGTTTGGTTCCAGGAAGTTCCACTTGTTTAATCAAGGAAAACACACACCATAACCAATAATGTTCAAACAACACTTACCGTGATAGGACAACATTGATTAATACGATTTTAGAGTTACACAAACGATTTGTATTCAAAACTCGTCATCTATTTATGCAAAATTTGTAAACTTGTTGGACTTTTAATCGGAAAATAAATTTGGTGTGTACGTAAAGAGGCTTATTAATGACGAGATAAAGTGAATGCATCTATTCCCTTTTAATAGTTTAAAATTTCAGAGCAAATCACTAACATCGAATACTTTATTAATTTTTCACCAGTTTGTTTGATTCGTCACTAAGGATCGTATCACGTTGGTAAAAGTTAATAAAAACTAGTGATTAAAGTGAACAAAAATTTTGAATCCAATAATATAAAGTTGAAAAATAGATTTAATCGACATTTTAGCAAAAGGACGTATTACCAATCAAAGCGCTACATATGTTGAATGAGAGGAACTCATAGCAAAATAGAAATTAGTTAGTCAAACATAGCCCAAACAGTACAAATTACACGTATGGCAAATTCAATGCCACGACCGGATAACAATTAAAAGTTCGTTGGGGTAGAGATAGTTGCACCCCCTACCTCTACCCCTGACACCACCACAGTTCATTTCTTTAAATTCTTATACCACTTCCAATCCAATTCTGCAAGAAGCCCTTTCTCTTTCTGATTCCTTGCAAGATTCTACAGATTATTGATACAAAATCTTTCTTTTTCAAACCAAATTACTGAATCTTCCTTATAGTTTAAACTACATTTAGTTTCACATTTAGCTTTCTTTAGCCAGTTAATGCCCAGTCGGATTCATTTTTCATCAAAAATTTTCGTTGTTTAGGCCGTAGAGAGTTTTTCTAGTGATAAAGCAATGGGGAATGAGCAGAAGGCGAATTCCGAATCAGGAAATATATCGATCGAGGCTGATCTTGAAAGGAAAGGGAATACTCTCCCCAACTTTCTCCTTTCTATTAAGCTCAAATATGTGAAACTTGGTTACCATTACTTAATTTCACATGCTCTGTATCTTTTGTTAGTCCCACTACTTGGGATTGTTTCTGCACATTTTTCGACTTTATCTGTCGAAGATTTAGTCCTTCTATGGAGTCAGCTGAAATTCAATCTTGTCACGGTAGTTGTGTGTTCTGTTCTAATGGTTTTCTTGGGAACTCTTTATTTCATGACGAGGCCGAGGAACGTCTACTTGGTCGATTTCGCGTGTTACAAGCCTAACCCAGAGGTTATGTGCAGTAAAGAAATTTTCATGGAAAGATCGAGACAGGCCAGAATATTTACCGAAGAAAATTTGGCTTTCCAGAAGAAAATCTTGGAACGATCGGGAATAGGACAGAAGTCATATTTCCCAGAAGCCCTTTTACGTGTCCCTGCAAATCCTTGTATGGCTGAAGCCAGAAGGGAGGCTGAAATGGTTATGTTTGGTGCCATTGATGATCTTTTGGCTAAGACAGGGGTAAAGGCTAGGGATATTGGGATTCTTGTGGTGAACTGCAGTTTGTTTAATCCAACACCATCACTTTCTGCTATGATAGTGAATCATTACAAGCTTAGGGGTAATATTTTGAGCTATAATCTTGGTGGGATGGGGTGCAGTGCTGGATTGATTTCTATTGATCTTGCCAAACAACTTCTACAGGTTTGACTTTTTACTTTACGAGGTGTTTTTTTACCAGTTAATATCTATTGTCCAAAGCTGTCTTCCCTTGCAAATGGACACATCATGAAAAATTGTGTACATTTGCAATTGAGTGGACAGCAAAAATGGACAGTATATCTCAACTCGTTTTTTATATGCAGTATTCAATGGTACTGAGTAGTACAATATAGACTAT